TTATTTGGTTAACCTTTTTTCCTCTTAAAATATATTATACATTTATAGGGTCTAACTTGAAGTATGTTGACTTAGATCATCCATAGGGTTGGAAACAAATAAAATCTAATTGAGTATTTTGATATAATATTGGAATACAGTAATTGTAGAAACTATTTGTATCCGGTTTGTATTAACTTTTAATATTTAATTTGTATTTGGGAACTAGAATTCATTTGAAATTTTAAATTTCAATTCCAATATTTGATAACCCATAATTTCAACTTTCAAATGCTGTCTCGGAACACAGAGTTTCAGTTCTAGAATTTGAATTTTAAAGTCGGCAAAGACGGTGATGGAAGCAGGATGACATGTATGGAATGGTTGTTGCATAAAGGAATATCACTCTTTAATTGCAAGTTATAAATTAAGAAAAAGTTAGAGCAAAAATTTGTAAATGACATGTCGAGAGGTGTGGATTTGTAACTGAGTTTGTTTTGAATGAGTAGAATTTGGTTCTGATGGGAAATAATACTTGACTCGGTCCAGATTTTCCAATTATTTATGAAGATCTGGTCAGACCTATTAAATAAAGAGGGGAATAATAGAATATTTCCCGATGATGCTCCTTCTCCTTCCCTATGAAAAGAAGGGTTTGCAAGCTTTCATTATCCTTCTCCTTCAATATTGGGGAGGCCTCTCTCCTCTCACCACTCCAATGTACACTCTCTCCCCTATATGTATCTTCTTCTTTTTCAAGAAGCTTGCAAGCTTTCATTAATGGCTTTCTAAGCCTAAATTTTGTGCCGTGTGCACCCCTAATATTAATAAAATCTCCCTGTTGGCTAGGTACCGCCGAAAAAGGCCTGTGGTTTTCTCCCGATTGGGTTTCCACGTAAAAATCCATGTGTTCGTAATTTGGTGTATTTTGTTAGACTATTTTATCGTTCTTGCCTAACTAAGAACGATACTCCGGTCGAGATAATTTACACCATCATTGTGGCGCCACCTTTGGGACCCAAACAAAAATCCGTGAGTTTTCAGTTGCTCCACAGTTCATCAAAAAATTATCAAAGATCGGGACAGATTCACCTAAGAAAGGGGGATGTCTCATTCTTTGATGATGGCATAAAGAAGAAAACACAAAGAGGCAAAAGAGAAGAGCTCAAGATGTCATTTTTTTAAATCTTGTTGAGAGATCTAGAGTTGAAACACCTGTAGATTCATTGAAGCCGGCAAGCCGCTATTCATCAAAGTGGCCTACTCTGTTCCCTATCACTGCCGGTGGCAGCTACCATTGTGGGTAATGCTGAAAATCACCATTGCCGCTGCTAATCATTGCCAGCGGGAGCCACGATTCATCCACGTATTTGCTGTCAAATACGTCGCCATTGCTCCTTCCCGATCACAAACCATTATTGTCGGGGTCTACCAGCGTCGTTGCTCAGACCCCCATGTATTTGAGCGTATGTGTGTGTGAATCTCTGTGCGTGTGTGTGTGTGTGAGTGTGAATGTGTGTCAGAGAGAGAGATTTGATTCTCAAATGCTATATGAATTGAATATACCCGTAATCCCAGATATACCCATATTTCATAATCGTATTCTAAAGTTATTCGAATCAAAATAAAATATCCAGATTGAAATATTTGAATCAGATTTATCACATTTAAATTTGAATAAAAAATTGAATCAAAATGATCTGATTCTTTCATGGTAATGCTCATCCATCAAACATGTTCAAGGAATTGAAGATGCAGTCAAGAAATACTAACCATGTGTATCCACAACAGATGGGTAAACGGTTCCTTTGCCAGCACCCATCTTAAAAGAATAAAAGTTCAATACAGAGTATACACTATGTGTCTGCTGTTTTGCTTGACTTCCATTATTAAAATTTTCATTTTGTATTCTTCATGTTTAGTTTTAGTACCTTTCTATTGCAGCTTTGTACGAAAGGGATTAAGATAACTATAGTTTGCCCAGGACCTGTAAAGACATCGCAGAGCCCTGAAGCAAGCATCCCAAGAGTAGGGGGTCCCGGTGCCACTGAGGTTATCACTTTTTTATACGGAGTATATCCCATTTGATTGAAACTCAATTCTGATCCTTATGCTGCACCATCATAGTTCTGTTCTGACATATATGATATAACTTTCTAAAACCACCTAAACAACTATTCTCTCTTTGACTTCAAGGAGATTTAGAAGTGTTAAGAAGATATTTAAAAGTGGAAAATGAGTGGTTAGAATATGTTTAGGAGAGAGAAGTATTTTTGACCGCATACCCTTTTCCAAAAAGGAAAGAGAAAAAGTGAGAAAATTATTTTGGGACGGATGAAAAGTGGAAAAACTTTTGTGCACAGAGGGAGTAAATATGTCTAAGTAAGTTCACTAGTCTTCTCATATTTTCTAATTTTCTTTCAGAAGCGCATCTCCTCTGAACGGTGCGCAGAGCTGACCATAATTGCGGCCAGCCATGGTCTCAAGGAAGCCTGGATATCATATCAGGTAAATAATTCAACCTATTATGGCCTAATCAATTTGAGGGTAAAATAAGTTTTCATCCACCTGAACAAGGCCTAAACTGTAAACATTACATTTTGTTGCGTTGCCTTTCAGCCCGTGCTTGCAGTGATGTACTTAGTGCAGTATGTGCCAACTATTGGATACTGGCTAATGGACAAGGTCTGCTTTCTACTACCTCTGTATATGACTTTTTCGAGTCAAATTGTACAAACATTGAAATATTTCATTGTATTAATAATATGAAATGAAACTTTTGTGTAATTGATTTGAAAAAGTCAAAGTGGACAAATACTCTCTGGGTGGAGTTTATCTTTGCAATGTAGACTTTTGTAGTCTACTAGAGGAGTGTTTTTTCTCTGGTTGCTGAGTTCAAAATGGGATTTCCCCCCCCTTCTTGTAGATCGGAGCAAAGCGTATAGAAGTGGCAGCCGAGAAGGGCAACACCTACTCTTTGGGTTTGCTCTTTGACAAAAAGAAGGCATAGTGAACCGGTTTAATCTCCAAGTTTAAAAGGCTGAGTCATGGTGTCGTCTCTTTCGCGGTAGGAGTACAATGTTGTTATTCTGTCCATTACTAAGGGGGGCTAAAAGAGTCGTTGACAATGTTTTATCATTTGCTTCTTTCACATGTGTGCCAAACAACACTAATCTACTTCTCCACTCATGTTCCAAAATAATCTTTTACGTTTGACTTTTACGGAGTTTAAAAAAGCTTTGAAAAGTGAAAAGGTAGTCGTTATGAATGAAGATTATTTCATGACAAATGAAAAATAAAGAAAGAAAGATTATTTTGCGTTTGACCTCTGGTCTCATTTATATAAGAGTTTGGCTATTTCTATAAAGGGATTTTGATGTTTTTGAGGTGGGTAAAATTTCCCCCCGAAAAATGCGGAATGCACATATTTCATCAATTTTTTTTAGAGTTTGTTTTTTTTTGAAATCTTTTAAAAGATTTTATATTAATGGAGTTGGGTAATACTTATATAGAGTGAATTGGTTTTTTTCCTATTTTTCTTTTGGTGTGGTATTGGAGCTTTGATCACATGTTGGGATATGAGCCTAACTCTAACTTCATATTAGCATGGTATTTTCGGCTTTAGATTAGATTTTCACAAATTTATTTTTGGCAACTCGCAAAAAGCTTCATACTAATTAAGGGAGAAAAGACTATATAGAAATAAAATATTAAAAAAAATCAAAATATGATTTTCATGGTTTTATCCTCAAAATAATACATATGAGATATTGTGAAATGTCAATATACAAATTAATAGTATTACAATGTAATAGTTTTATTTTAGAGATAAGAACACATCACTCTTATTTTGGAGATACTCCGTAATAATTATTAGTTACTCCATACATGTTGCTTCTATTTTGGTGAGTTCTTTCATACTAATGGAGTAGGATGAACACTTGATTACTTTTTTCTTGTTCTAGTATGTTACTAGGTATTTAGCTTGATCCTCAATAGCTTTGATTGTTTCAAAAATACTTATTTTTTTTTTTTTGAAGCTAAGAGAATAAAATTATATTAATGAAATGATGAAGTCAGGGGGGAGAAATGTTCCATTCTCCCTTGCTCTGGGGTGAATGAGAAGCTTGCGCTAGTACATGCGCCGCCTCATTAGCAGAGCGATAAACAAAGTGAAAATAAAAAATCTCATCGCACGAAGTCAATAGGGATTTATCAAAAATACTTAATATTCAATGCTGGCTTTTTGTGTTTTTTTAATTAATCGGCACCATAAAATAATTACTGGCTTCATTCTAGAATAAAAGATACGGTTCCGTTGTCACTTCTCAGTCTATTTCTACCCTTTGTTCTTATTTTGATGCTATTTTTGAGAATTGTAGAATCCTTTTCAATGGATTTCATTTTGCATTTATCTGTTTTATTCGATTAATGTTGTTGTTCATACTCTTTCTTATTATATGCATTTCTAATTTAGGGTTTGAGATTCTACACCATTTGATTTTGTACTTGCACTTTTGATGAATTAATGCATTGGCCTTTTATTTCTTAAAGTCTTTATTTAATCAAATTTATAATACAAGAAACACATAAAAAATTTATAAAACAAGAAGAAAGATGATTATATTTAAACAGGTGAATAAATTATCATTTCCTGTTTCCTCACTAACTTTATTGTCTCTTAGAGGTATATTTCATTAGTTCTGTTGGTTTAAAAAAAGACATGATTACATTATTTAATTAAATTATCGATGAAAATGTAGAATAAAAAATAATACGGAGTATTTAAATATGAGAATATACTACTCCCTCCGTCCCAAATTATAATGCCTGTTTACTATTCACAGGGTCAAACTTTATTCACTTTCTTTCTCTATTTTCGTTAGCAATTTGATAAAATAAAATATTATTGTCACTACTAGTTTTGTAAATCTTTTGATGTAGTTTTTTAATATGTAATTTTTATTTTTTAATTCTATACCATTTGTCATATAAAATGGTTTAAAAATAATTTCAGTCAAACATCGTAAACCGAAACAGGCGTTATAAATTGGGAGGGAGGTAGTAGATATTATCTTGGTCTCCAAAACTTTTCCTTTTAGTTATACTCTTAATTCTTAAACCCTAAANCCCCCCCCCCCCCCCCCCCCAACTCACCGTCCCGGCTTCCCATACTCTGACCGGAATTTGAATCGAATTGGAAATGAAATGAAGGCGGCGACGATGAATCGGAGATTCGCAACAGTATGGTCCCGTTTGATTCACAATCAGCTCCGACCAATTATCACACCGCCGTCTCCGGCGGCGGGGACATCCAATCCAGCGGTTGTTCTGCGGCCTCCGTTTCTGTCTCAGTCGCATTTTCCGCCCGCTCCACGCTTCTTCTCGTCTGCATCGTATCGTGACAGGCAGTGGCAGGGGAAGTTTGAAGACTCTCTGTTCCAGGAACGGAGGGATTTGCTTAAGGAGAAGGAGGAGAGGTTGAAGCAGGGGCTGGACACGGCCGACCTAGATGCTCGTGTCGCGGAGCTCGACAAGCGCGAGGAGAGTCTGAAGAAGTCCGCCCCCTCGTACGGAGAACCTACTGACTCTGATTCGGATGATGACGATGAACAATGGGGTTCTGAAGCCCTGGAGAGACGGTGGGTTGTGTTCGAGAAGAAGTTTGAGCACCATGAACGGCTCCTTAAAAATTTCACTGCTGCTAGTATGTACATCACAATATGCTTCTATTCAAATAGAATTTCATTTCCGCAGTATATAGTGTTTTCTGATATTTGTATTGAATTATAGGTTTTGTTTAGTAGATATAGTTTTTTAGAACAAATGCTCGTATCGGCTATTTTGTTTAGAAGCGAATATGTTACATGAAACCCAATTGCTTGTCTTCAGAGACTCTTGATGAAGCACACAAATGGATGCATAGAATTGATAAGTTTGAGGAGAAGCACTTCCCTCTCAAACCAGAGTACCGTGTGATTGGTGAGCTTATGAACCGGTTGAAAGTTGCTGAGGGTAAGGAAAAATTTCTCCTTCAAGTGAAGATAAACCGGGCACTTAGGATGGTGAGATGGAAGGAAGCCTATGATCCAAATGATCCGGCCAATTATGGAGTCATTCAACGTCAGGTGGTTGGGTCCTCTGTTGATGCTTCTGAGCGTGCTGAGTTTGATGAGGAAGAGAAGACGACTAAAGGAGCAAAGAATGACAGTGACAATGAGTTAGAGTTTGATGACATGAAAGAAAGGGATGATATACTGTTGGAGAAGCTAAATGCAATTGATAAGAAACTTGAAGAAAAGCTGGCAGAACTTGAACACACCTTTGGGAGGAAGGGGAAGCAGCTCGAGGAGCAAATTAGAGATCTTGCTGATGAGAGGAACTCATTGACCGAGAAGAAGAGAAGGCCTCTTTACCGGAAAGTAAGTCCATTTCCACTTTTTTATGCTCTTGACTTCCAAAACTCGTGTAGATATTGTGCTCTTTTACTGCTTACACCTCTAGTTGTTTTCCTTATGAAAAGTTTTTTTAGTTATTTTATATTCTTCTCCAGAATTTCAGGGTCAACTTAATACTCCTGTTCCTTCTTATTAGCCTGCACTCTTTCCTTTTTGTGTCGTTCCATATTAGGGTGCACATTTACTCTCTCCTTTTTTTTCTGTAGTTTGGTTTAGACCCATATTGTTCTCTCTCATACACTTCAACTTTTCCTTTGCCTTTTCCATCAAGCCAAATCATTTCTCGCTCATAAATAACTCACTTTCATTTACACTATGTTTGGTCCACGGGATTTGGAAGAAAAGAAAATAAAAGAAAATGGTTTTCCCTCATTTTTCTCACCAAAATGAGAGGAATTTGGTTTTCCTTCCTCTTATTACATTTTGCCTTCTCATTTTCTTTTCCTTCCACTTTTCTTTTCTTTTCCTCTCTAAGCAAACAAGAAAAATGTTTTCCTTCTCATTTTCTTTTCTTTTCCCTCTCAAATTCCTTGAACCAAACATACTGTTACTCTTTTTTTTTGTACTTTCATTTGCTCTTAATCTATGTGCAAGTCAAATTGTACTTGGTATTAAGGAACAGGACTATTTACTTAGTAATCTTCATGTTCTTCCATGGTGCTATATGGGTTTGTTTTTTAAAATAATAAATGAGCTACCTTCTCCATTGCAGGGATTTGATGTGAAACCAATTTGTATCAATAGGACATCTAAGGTTACAAAGGTAATGCAAGCTCTCTGTTTTAAGTTCCTTTTTTCTTGGGTCATCTTTATCAGCGTTTCATCCTGAAATCAAACCTGTAGGGAGGAAGAATTGCAAGGTACACTGCTCTCCTAGCATGTGGGAACTATAATGGTGTCATTGGTTTTGCAAAAGCAAAGGGTCCAGCAGCTCCAATTGCCATTCAAAAGGTATGAAAAATTGCTACTTAGTGTTTATATTCAGTTGAAACCAGTTTGTTGGTGTGTGTTCAACCTAACTTTACTCTATCTCAAAAAGAGGTTCTGCTCTTTTTCTTCGTTAGAGGACCAATGATTTTCGTTAGGTTCTGCGTATTATAAACTTGAATGCCGTTGTTGTACTTAACTCTGGTAAGAAAAAATGGGTCTTTCACTGCATCCACCAATAATGCATGCAAAAACTCAAATATTTTTTATACAAGACAACAAAAGTATAGATTGAAAATTTACACAGCCAGCTCAGTCTAGCCCAAGATAATCTCGTGTTTAAGCACTTTTGGTTTACTATGTTTACAGTCAATCTTTTAGTGAGGACATTACTTTTCAATCCCTATATTTCCGTGTTTTAGCAGTAACATGAGATCACAACAAATTTCTGTGTTTTGAGAGATTGATTAGTGGTCACAATCCCATGATCCATTACAAAATAAAATGATAACTTAGTTGAGCAAATAGCCAATCTAACTAAGACAAGTCACGCAAAAGTGGTGAGGAGAATACAATGAAGATGTAGTAGCATAATGCTCTCCCGCCTCTCCGATTTTTCTGTTTTAACTAGGTTTATTTGACAATGGGTCTTTCTATTCCTCATTCCAAGATACAACCCTTTGAAATTTTCTTTATGTAATTGAATGGAGTGGGTATAAAGATCATTTGTGATGTTCAGTTAATCGACTTATTCTCAGGACTCTTTTGTAACTACAGGCATATGAGAAATGCTTTCAGAATCTCCATTATATTGAGCGGCATGAAGAACATACCATTGCACATGCAGTTCAAACAAACTATAAAAATACTAAGGTCCAGGTTTCATCTTTTCTTTTTTGTAACTTGGTATCTATATCCACATTTAAGGTTCAATTACCTTCTGGGTGTGTTTACCCTTTGTTTTTTTTTCGCTTTTATATTTCCAACATCACACATGTAGTGTCAGAACCAGTTGCAGTGGTCAGCAAAGGTGGTGGGGGTTGACGGTAGTCAACGGCTGCAATATCGATAGTTACTCGTGGTAGTAAAATTGATTGTTCTCAGTGGTGAAGACTATGACGGTGTTTACATGTGTCACACTGGGTGAAGGTGGGGATGGGTCGGTAGTTTGGGATCACCGACAGCGGCTGGAGGAGGTTACTGATTGTAGCAAGGGTGACCTTTGGTGATTTGAAAAAATAAAAAACTAAATATGCTTTCTGTTTAGTTTCCTAGAAAACTGAAAACTTTTCGAGTTAATAGTGAGGTGTGTCTTCTAACTCTGATATTAGATCCTTGAAAATATGTTTGCTTATGACTTTCTTCAGGTATATCTCTGGCCGGCACCTACTCAAACAGGAATGAAAGCAGGCAGAACTGTTCAAACAATCCTAAATTTAGCTGGTTTCAAGAATTTGAAATCCAAGGTTCTTTTTTTTAAAGCTAACTCTACCAGTCTTACTCTTACCTACATTATCAATTAGTTCTTACATAACATCCTTTTAGGTTATTGGCTCGAGAAATCCTCATAACACAGTTAAGGCCATATTCAAAGCTCTAAACGCTGTAAGTTGGGTGCTGCGTTTATACAATTACATTTTGAAACACCGTATCACAAATACACAATCTCCATATCTCTCTTCTGCCTCTTATCAAAGTCTCATATTTCCAGATTGAGACACCAAAGGATGTCCAAGAAAAGTTCGGCCGAACTGTCGTTGAGTCGTACCTACTACAATAGGTATGCTTCTTGTTATCTTTATAAAATTATTATCAAGTGGGGCTCTCTTTCAAGTAGGGCAAGGTCTGCGTACACCCACCCTCCCCAGACCCTACATTTGTGGGATTATATTGGGTTGTTGAGTGGGGCTCTCTTTGTACTACTCTGCATTGTAATCCTAGAGATTGTTTGGCAAGGGTAAAATTTAGTTGAGGTTGCTGCAATTGTGTCTGGATTAAGGAATAGTGTCACTGTTCCGAAATAAACTTCATTGCTTGACTTCATAAAATTTAAGAAGAGCATTGAAAAGTAGAAGTATGTGATTGTAATTTCTTTGGTGATGAGAGAAAACTTTGGAGCCTTATGTTTCATTCCTTAAAAATTAATAGGAGAAATATGAAGTTTATTTTGAGACGAACGGAATTGGAGAGTGTGATAGTTTATTTTGGTACATAGGAGTAATGTGAAATGTGAAGTTTATTTTGAGGCAAACAAAAAATCCTCTTAGTTTGACTTCCAAGAATTTAAGATAAGTGTTAAAAAGTAAAAAATATGGTTAGAATTTGTGAAGAAATTTTTTTGAGCCATCTATTATTTATTTCTTAGAAAGAAAGCAGACTTTTTTTAGATGGACAAAAAAACTAATAGAGTGAATATTTTTATGGGCACCGCGGTTTCCTTGACATTGCTTAGCAATGTCATTGGATGACCCGGGGACCCAAAGTTGGGGGGGCAACCAAAGGGGGTGATGGGGTGGGTTTGGGTCGGGGCGGGGTGAGAGGGTTTACCGGGGATATGAACCGTCATTTTTATGAACGAGGTATCGTCGGGCTCACATTCCTTAACAATGTCATGGGAACTGCCCTCTTTTACGGGATAGGAATACTTGAGAGAAAAGATAAAAAGTATCCTTTTGTTTTATTTAAGAAATGTTAGCCCAAAATGGAGCATCCAATCTTTTTTCTTCCATGTTTTAAGATGATTTAACTATCTGACTTTTTTCCCTTCTTTCTGCAGTTGGGGACGAAGCAAAACAAGGGTTGTGTGTTCTTTTTGCCAAAATCTTTATATTCAGCTGGAAGCAAACACATATGGCATTGGCATATGTTCATTTTTTGAATGCATTTGTTAACGATAATAATCTATAGATGTGTGCTTTTTCAATTGCCAATGTCAATTTGGTCTTTTTATTCCTTTGGCTAGGTAGTTGTGGCATTAGCTGTTTTGGGAGTTCTTAAGATACAATTTCCCAACCACTCTTTTGTTCTCGCTTTGTTTTATTTGACTTTTTATGATCTCTAATGCGATAACTTGATCATTAATAATTATGGAGTATATAATTGAATTTATTTGAAATTTAGTGTCGAATTAAAAAATAAAATTAATATTTACTTATAAACTATATTAAAAGTTTGATAAAACAAGAGGTGGAGTGATTATATTATTTTATCAAATGAGTTATGAATTTGAATAAAAGTGATTAAAATTTGACCATGTTAGTAATATACAAGCAATTTAAACCGGGATGGAGAAGAATATATCAAGAATATGTTTTAAAATGAATCTAATTATATAAAATTCACATTATAACTAATTATATGTTTTACATAGTTTGTGATAAAAGTTTGTAAAATTTACATTATAACTAATTATATTTGTTTCATAATTGAGGTTTGTAAAATTTAATTTTAAAAAAAGTGAAATATAAAGATTTTTTAAGTCGAAGAGCGAAATACAAAATTTCCATTATTAAGTTATTGATATTCACCTCTCTTTTCTCTCAATCACTTTCTCTTTTTTTTGTCAAAAATATTTGGTATTGACGCACCCTACCACTTAAAAAAAAGGTGCTCGCATAGGAGTAAAATGCCATGAAAATACTAAAACATGAGTGATGTAGTTTTAATGATCTGACCAATGTGATAGAGTGTGGTAATGGTGGACTGGTCAATCAGATCATATCAGAATTTTAAAAATTCAAATTAGATTTAATCAGATCAGGCGTAGAGCCTAAGTGGTGGCTTTGGCAATTTCAGAACAATGAATAGCGGCTAGAGATCAGATAATAGTGTGACAGTGTAAAAGAGATTTATGTGTAATTAATGATATTGGTCCGAATGGTTCCTTACTAAAATTTAAAAACATACTCCGTAAATCCCAAATAATCCCTAAGTTGGCTTGTCTCCCCATCAACTAGGTTTTTTTTTCTAACCCGTATCTGGATTCTCGAGTCGGCCTGTCCTTCTCTCGTCTCCCTCCTCCTTCCCTCGCACTGTGTAGGCCACTCAGAAACACTAAATTCTCACAGTCCGACCAAATTCTTCCATCTCTTTTACCTTCTGCTATCTTCCTAAATCGATTTTTATTAATTGCCAAGGTTACATTATCTTGCTGTTCATCGTTTCCCCCATCTTCATATGATCATTCGATTTTTTTTGGGAGGGGGGCTTTGGGTGTAGTTAGCATCTGTAACATTTGCGTGCGGTAAATTATGAATTGGAGTCATCTGAGTTACATTGAATCGTGTAGGTTAAAGCAGCAGCGAGGTTGAAGATTCTGGAATGGGAACTGAAGCTGGCTGGTTCATTCTTGGTCAAGATCAACAACTGATTGGCCCTTATACAACTGCTGAGTTAAGAGGTGAGTTAATGTGTAATCTGGTGTTATTGATTTTTTTTGAAAAAAATAGTGAAGAGTTATTCTGCTAGTTACATATCCATGTAAACTTGAATATGTGCAATTTTTGGAGTTGGGCATGTTTGGGTATTGTCTTTATTGCGTCTATGTTCTTCTTCATTTCTGAGATGCTTTCTTTTCTTCTCTCTTTTGCTTGTTTGCATTTTTTTATTGGCACTTCCAGTCCCACAAGTAGCCAATAAGCATCTCTATTCAATGTTCAAATAGGAGGTAATGAACCGTGTCTGTATATCCTTGTATGATTCAACTGGACAGAGCATTATTCAAATGGGTATCTTGTGGAGAACACCCTTGTGTGGTCGGAAGGGTGGAATGAGTGGCAACCGCTCTCTTCAATTCCTGGGCTGTTGACGGACCTACCTAAACTCAGCGCTGGTTCTCCAAGTATGTGTGACTAAATGTGTGGTCAAAGTGTTCTATGGGATATGGACTTCTTCTGAGGATCTTTTGGTAACTTTTTTATTTGTTTTGGGCAGATGGTGTGGTCTCTGTTAACGATGAAGATGAGTTTGAAAAGTTTCAAAAGGAGATCAAACAGGCTGAAGCTGAGGCTGAACAAGAGATCAATGGTGATATAGAGAGGCCTTCCACCCCACCCGAGGGAGAAGAGGAATTCATTGATGATGATGGTACACAATATAAGTGGGACAAGGTTATTAGGGCTTGGGTTCCTCAGGTTGACTATCTTTTAACACTCAAGCATAAATGTTGACATAGTTTTTGTCTTCTCTTCTTTGAATAACTTTATAAATATTTTTTGAGCATAATGTCATCAATATTTGTATTTATATTTGTTTTGGGTGACCTGAGGGCTGGGTGCAATAACATGATGCAATCGGATGTAATTTTAACAGGAAACTGCATCTGAAAGCAATATGTATGGTATGGAAGACATGGTTTATGTGAAAGAGGATGAAGTCTTTCCAACACTAGAAGCGGGTGATTTTTCCGAAATAGAAGTTGATGCGAATGGAAAAGTGGGCACCTCTACTGCTACTAATGCTACTACTGCTGCAGAGGATAGCAAAGAATTTAATGAAAGTAAGGAAAGAAACAATAGCAAGAGAAAACTGCCTGAGGAAACTTCTGAGAAGAAGGTTACTCTCCCATATGTCATAGTTGTTTGGTTTCTTTCACTTCCATCTATACCATTCTACATAATGGCAGTATCTTGTCACTTAAATGTGAAAAGGTTTAGCACATTTATGAAATTAAATATATTCATCTATTCCCTTACAATTTGATGCATTTGCAGGAAGCCAACAAACCCCCTGATAGCTGGTTTGAATTAAAAGTAAATACTCATGTATATGTGACAGGATTGCCAGAAGACGTTACCGTTGAGGAGGTGAGTCATGTTTTGTTTCAAAACAATGGTTAGTTAGTGTCTTTTATGAAAATGTTGTATTTTTGAAATTGGTCCATGTATTATTCCTCTTACTAAAGCAGTGACTTTTCTTGCAGATTGTTGAAGTCTTTTCCAAGTGTGGAATCATAAAAGAGGTATGTCAGTATGTGTGTCCGCATTTTAATTGTAAACTGAATTTAGCATTGGTGCAAAGACAGCAAACTAAAAATATCCTTGTAACACACAACTTGGTTAAGAGAACAATAATTCATTAATATTATTGAAAAACTTTTACATTTACAAAATGAATTCGGTACTGAATTTGAGGTGGAGTGGCACCCAGTAATGCTTACTCCTTCCTCCGTGCCCCTGGTCTATGCACCCTCCTACGTTCTTGGATAGTGTGTTGACTGTGTTCTATGTTGTTGGTTGTCCATGCTTTAGTCGTGCACATACACTTATTTCGAATGGACTTCATGCAGTTGTATTACCTGAATATGTGGGAAAATGTAGGACGTGGATACAAAAAAGCACAGAGTGAAGATTTATTTTGATAAAGAAACTGGAAGGAAAAAGGGTGATGCTCTGGTTACATATATGAAGGTTAGATCGTGCCTTATGAGTTATCAGTTATGGCTAGAGATAAATATGGAGTGGTTTAATTCAATGTGATCTTGTGATTAATGAAGTTGTATTTTTCTTTTCCATAATGCCATTAGGAAGCTTCTGTTGAACTTGCCATCAAGATTCTGGATGGGGCACCACTGCGGCCTGGTGACAAGATTCTTATGTCAGTTACACGAGCTAAGTTTGAACAGAAAGGTTTAAAACACGGATTATGTTCTGTCTTGATTTGATTTGTGCATTTATTGAGAAAATAGGACACACGTACATAACATTCTTTATCATTGAAACTTCTGTAGTTCCTTCATTCAATGCTTACCTACCAATGATATGCATTGCTTTTCAGGAGATAAATTCATAACCAAGCAAATAGACAAGCAAAAAAAGAGGAAGCTTCAAAAAGTTGAACATAAGATGCTTGGTTGGGGTAGGTGTTTACACATTCAGTAATCTAATTTTTATTACCTAGAGTTGACTATAGCTGGAAATTTCAATATTTATTCTTAAATCTTTGAAATGATCTTAATTTTGTCCTTCTCACTGCATTAGGTGGTCGGGATGATGAAAAAGTGTCAATTCCAACCACTGTTGTTCTTCGTCATATGTTTTCACCAGCTGAGCTAAGGGTATTGCATCCCCATCTAGCTTCTAATTCTCTCTTGTCTCACTCTGTCTGGTTCCAAATCTGCTATGCATAAAATATCTTTTTACAGTTTGTGTGCATTTCTGCAACATTCTGATTTCAGGGACAATATGAAATATTGTCATCTTTGCCATTCTTGGTCAAAGCCAGTGCTACTATTAAACCCAGACCAAACGGGCTGATTGGACCAGCTGGTGGGTTTGCCCATAAACCCGTATTCAGCCAGTTCTAGAGTGCCGGAAATCCGACTGAGAATCTTCTGGCTGGACTGATTGAACTGATCCTTCTTTAAAAGTCTATTATTTTCTCAATTTTTTACATATCTATCATTTGTTTATGGCTATTCTGTTAGATATGAAAATTTAATTTCACGTGTGCTTTCACTAATGTTTGTACTTGATACAAATACTGTTTTGCTAATAAATCAACTTGTGCTTCACTTAATGTGTTCTATTTTTACAACTCAATTTTGAATATTATTATTACTATTTTAATTACTAGATTTTAAGTTATTAGACAAAGTATTGAACAAGTATCTAGGTGGGGGTAAGGTCTATATACTCCCTCTGTTTTTATTTCGCTAGTACTCTGGGTTGACTTAATATTCTTGTGATTATTTTTATCCATTTATGATATCTATGCACATTATTTCTAACCTCAATTTAAACTTGTACCATTTTATGTAGAGTAACAAAAATCTGGTAGTTGTCTTTTGTGAGTGTATCTGCTACTAAGTAAAATATAGAGTAACATATATAATCTATCACAGTTGTAAATGTTATAAAAGTGTGTTTCTAAGTAAAATGTAAATGTTATTGACCACAGGCAGATGAGAGTTTGCTGCCTGAGTTGAAGGAAGATGTTAAGGAGGAGTGTGCAAAACTAGGACCTGTTGATTCAATCAAGGTATCTGTCTGTTACTAAATTTGATATCAGATATTTCAGGTCTACATGCTTGAGATATTGCATCGCCCAATGGAAATGAAAATGCTAGGGAAATGCATTTTTATGTGTTTGGCTTTATCTTGGACAATGTCAACGAAATGAGATACGATACAGGGAAAATAATTAAAAATCAATAATAACAATAAACCCATTATAATCCCAACTCTGTTTGAAGATGTACACAACCTTACCATGTCAAAAACAGAGAGAATGTTTCCGTTAGGCCCGTGATGCATATATGCATGTACTGCCCAAAACGTTATAGAAAGTAGGAACCAAGAGAAGTTTAATGTGAAAAATGACTTTTTACTACCTCCATTGGCAATTTTCTAAAATCATATTACAAAAATAATTATGAATAAATATCTATAACAAATAGCTTTGGTATATCCTTTATATTCCTTCAAAATTTCTTTCTTTCTCTTTTTTCTCATGTTTATTGTTTTCTTAACGGGCCTTTAGCATTTATCCGCTGTATCTCACCATCAACTTGGCTGCTCTCTTGCAGGTATGTGAGAATCATCCACAAGGAGTTATTTTGATCAGATTCAAAGACAGGAAGGATGCCCGGAAATGCATCGAGTTGATGAACGGCCGATGGTAAACTTTTCAAAGCAGTTTTATTCACAGTTCCATTTTTCTATTTTCCCCCATTAACGTCATGTTTGGTTGGTGAAGGTTTGGTGGGAGACAGGTACATGCGAGTGAGGACGACGGTTCTGTGAACCACTCTCTGGTGAGAGATTGGGAAGGGGAAGCTGAGCGGTTGGAGAAGTTTGGGGCTGAGCTAGAAACTGATGATGCCCACTCCAGTAAAATCTGACTCTCCCATGTAAAATTTCAAATTTACCGTTTTACTGTTGGAATGCTCCTGTTTAACCGATTGTGTATGTTACACTCACCCCTAGTCCATATGTGGAATATGATAGAAGAGATTATATATGGGCATCTTTACAAAAATCACTAAGAGTATTTTTAGTTGGGTTTGGTCTATTGAAGTCCAGTTCTTTTGACACAAGGGCTAGTGTCATTATATGACACCATTCCATTTAAAGATCCCGTTGCTGTGTTTGATCCCAAACTCACAAACTTTCCCCCCTAGTTTGCCCTTTACCCCTCTCGTGGTTTTGCCCACATGCTACCGTGAACATTCTAGCATATCGGTGAAACGGGGTGAGAAGGGGGTGTTTGTAAGGTGAGATTGACTCAGGATCGAACGGAGCATTGTAAGACCCTTAAATGGGTCCGGTGCAAAAGAACCAGGATGTGGTCTAGATATCAATTTTTTTATCAAGGCTAAAAGTTTTGTTTGTAAATGATGAATGAAGTCGTATAACCATATGGATATTGTTAGGGAATGGGATTATTTTCAATTTTTGATATTCCATCCGTTTTAACTTAAGTTCTTTGTTTTTTTTAAATGGATTTTAAGCAAAATTGAAACTGGACAAGTGATACTCAAGTGAGTCATAGAGAAATCATGCGAGTCAATTAAAGAATAAATTATTAGGATACTTCAAAATTCTGTTCTATAATTCTATTCTATTAGTCATGTTACATAACAAAAATATATAAAAAAAACTTAAGCCAATTTTAATAAACTTAATGAATGACTTTATTATTTTAATCTAGTTTTTATGTTTTTATACTAGTAATTACGGAGTATAATTTTTTACGCTAGCTAAATTGTCATTTTTTATTTAGCTAGATTCTATTGACATTCACATGACACCGGTTCCAATTGAAACATTTACGATGCTATGTTTGCAAAACTAGTAGTTCCCACTCTCCTAGAACCTCCCACCTCGTCCTAGCCCGAATTCACTCTCAACCTTTTCAATTTCATTACCAAAATTTTGTTGACTTTGTGGTAAAAAAATTGGCCTTAAAGTCAACAAAAATTTATAAATGAAATTGAAGGGGGTGAGGGTAGATTCGGACCGGGACAAGATAGGTAGTTACAGAAGTCAGAACTATCAATTTTATAAACAAACACCATTGGTGTTCCAACATAGTAGCGGCACGCTACTATGTTTACACTATTCCAAAAAGATATTTTTAGTGTTATTGGAATCGTCCCATTTTTTAATTTACAATATTTGACTGGAATGATGTTCAACTTAATTTATTGGAGATATGTGGTGAAATTAAAATTTAAAAATTACATCTGAAAGCTTGAAGAAATAAGATGTGACATGATTATATTATTTTGTCAAATTAATAATAAAAATATGTGAATAAATTGAATGAGGTTTGATTATATGAATAGTAAACAGACAATATAATTTGAAATATATTGGAATACTATAATAGAAAAAGATGATTAAGATACCCAGCACCGGTTTTTTCTAACACCAATTCTTACGGTAGTCATACCTTTTACTCAGACTGTTTTCACTTGAAACCGCCTGTAAGACTAATAAAACTTAGTGCCCATATATTCATTTGTGTAAGTTTCAAAACGAACCAGTGGTTAGTTTATCGTGAATCATGCAATTCAAATTTTAGAACACTTTAATGGTCAACTTTTTAAAACTTAGACTAAAAATTATGGATAAAGTACATTGAATTATAATATAAATGTAATATCAATAGATTCACTTTGAGACGTAATTTTGAACTTCAGAGTTATACTGTAATTTCATACTCTATGTTTATATATAAATGAAACTTTTAATAGTTAAAAGTGTTGTGATGGAGATCGTAGAAAGTCAAATGAGAACAAAAATATGAGACGATGAGAGTATTATATTACCGCACATTTTTTTCTCTGAATTTGGGAAATTCTTTTTTTCGTTTGTACTTTTTACTATTTATTTCCATGTTTTTATTCCTGAAATAAGACTTACATTACCAAACATGGTCATATACATTACCAAAAAAGTATAGTAATGTGCACATGTACACTACCACAGTGCAAAGTCACATTATCATAGTGCAAAGTTCTATTTCAGAAAAAAATATAAAAATCTTATTTTGATAATTTCCTCTATATTTTAGTCCTATTTAGGGTGATTTCTTTTATAAAAATTAGTCTTGTGTTATTGTCATATTTTATTTTGTATAATATTAGATGTAGTTTTTAGTTATGTAAGTACTCCATTATTTTCTTAATTTATTTTTAAATTAATATTCAAAAAAAAAAATTTGAAAACAATATGACATAAAGAAATCACAATGAGGGATGAAAGTATAGAGTACGTGTCTTTATATGTGTGTGTGTGGTGGGGTGTGAGTCCATTTCCAGCTCATCAAAAGAAAAAAACCCGTTGGGAAAAAAATGTCACATTTCCCCTGCCTTCCACACAACGGTCATATGTTTTGAAATTTGCCCGTTGGAACTCCATCCCCACCGCTCCCCACTCTGTTTTCTCTTCCGAATGTATAACTATATATATCGTCTTCTCCACTAATCCTTCCATATCTGCAATTTCTTACCATTTCTCTCTCAACCCGGTCTCAAAGATTCAAATCCCACCACAAATCTCTCTCTATAAAAGAAAAACAATGGGTCTGCGGTTGGGCGGCGGCGGCGGCGATTCAGAGTCCCCTGCATCGACGGCCACTCACAAGGCCTTCCTCTTCTGCAACTACGTCCTGCTCGGTTCCGCCTCCAGCTGCATCTTCCTCACCCTCTCCCTCCGCCTCTTTCCCTCACTCACCGGTTTCTTCCTCATCCTCCTCCACGCCTTCACCATCGGCGGCGCCGTCCTCGGCTGCGCCGCCGTCACCTCCGCCGCCAAACTCTACGGGACCCGCATGGCGGCCACCGTCCTCGCCGCCATCTTCCAGGGCGCGGTGTTCATCCTCGTCTTCACCCGGACAGGGGACTTCCTCGGGAACCTCAAGTCGTACGTCAGGGAGGAGGACGGCGAGGTGATCCTGAGGCTCGCCGGCGGGCTCTCCGCCCTCATCTTCTGCCTGGAGTGGGTGGCGCTGACTCTGGCTTTTGTTCTGAAGTACAAGGCGGCCGTTCACGCCGGCGGCGGCGGATCGATTCCGTTGAGGAACGGAAAGGTTGGTGACAGCTGTGGTGATAGCCAGCTCAAGGACTGGCCATGGCCTTTCCAAGTTTAAATGAAGATTCCATTTTATTTTTTTCATTTTGAAAAAAAAGTGGATCTTGGAAAGAAGAAGTAATTTCTACTCTATGCGAAATTTAATTAATTACTTACTGTATTTTACTGTATTGATTCGTTTGTTATTTTGATGGATACTGTAATTTTGTTCTACTCTGCCAGTGATTTAATATGAATATGAAGGTTCTATTATTATTAATATTATTATTATTAATATTATTATTATTATTATTATTATTATTGTAATTATTATCATCATCATCATCATTATTATTATCATTATTATTATGTTCCAGGGTATATTGTATGTCTCTGACTCTCTGAGTCTACTCATGCTCTTATTATTATAGGTTCTCTATTTGCAAAAAGAATTGGCAGAAAACGGCACTCAAGAGTCAAGAAAATCAAATTTAGGATAAAAACTTCTTTTTTGAGTGCTTGGGTAAAAATTATCACTTTAGAATAGGAAATAAATACTCCTAGGAATTTGAAATTTTATAAGAATACTTGAAGATTATTGATTATTACAAATGCACCCAGAAATAACTCTTTTTAATTTCCCGGAAGGGACATAATCAATATTTATTGAACTTTTAGTATTGTATAAAAATTGGCAAGAATACACTTAAAAAATTTCAAACTGTCATAAATTCAAACATTTTACGATGGGTTTGAGAACATTAAATTTCTCAAAAACAACTAGTTTTGGAATGAAATCTCACAATTTATTCTTTAAAAAAGCAATATTTCTTGGAACAAACATGAATTTGATATGAGAAGAAAATTTACAAGGGAAAAAACAGTACTATGAAAATATGCTGTTACAAACTTACAATCAGTCTAAACTTAGAGAAAGCTCAAAAACTGGCCATGGCCCCCCATATTGTGAAATCTTTCATCCAATTTACTTTTTACATACAAAACACAGTGTAAACACATTGACAAGGAACCTTTTCTTCTTCCTGATGTGTGAGAACTCAGCTCACTCTTGTTTGTTCTCGCTTTCCTCTAGGAACAATTTACTGCCGCCCAGGTGGGTTTTCAAGTTGGGCTGCGGTGAAGTTTCGTTGGGATTATTGTTGCTGGTTGGAGAAGACGGCGGCAGGCACCTTTTTGAGAAGAAGGTTGCAATGCTCTTCATTGTCCTCTTACTCCCAACTTTTTCTGCAAAATGCATTGAGATGATGAAAGTGTATATAGTGAGTTGGGTGCTTATTGAATAAGCAGAAACTTATTGTTATTGAATAAACAATGGCAAACAAGCTCAGTATTTTTAAATTTTACCCCACGTTTTCTTTTATAAAAATCTGGTTCTATGTGGTATTAACTGCTACATTCTTTGTATTTGTACTTCTCACACGAGTGTGAGAAAAATGCAAATCAAGATATGATAAAACTCAAGAATTCCAAGAATATAATTTAAAGTGAGGTATGGAAAGGATGGAGAATAACCTGGGGTTACTGATATTCCAAGCTTCACAAGAATATCCTTTTTGACCTATGTATGTGTCATGGGGACAGGCAATTAGCCATTGGCAATCTTAACATAATACTCTATAAAGTAATAACATTTGGCGTTCTCGGTGTAGTTATATATATATATATATGACTAACCTGCCATCTATTATCTGAGAAATCTGCAATCTCCCTCACTTTACTCCGTATTTGGGTCTTTGAGATATGAGGGAACTTATGTTGCAACGATTCTACAACCTTGTTTAGGCCTTGCCCATGCGATTTGATTGCAGATACCTATGTAGAGGGAGGATAAAAATGGGTAAAGATGTTTGAAATAAAAAGAAATTTAGGGTTTGGTATGCTTTTCAGAAATAAATTCCTATGTAAAAAAGGGTTTTCACAAAAAAAAACACTTGTGTTAGGAAGTGTCTATATAATCGTCCAAAACTTGACATTGCATGCCTACAAAGTTATCCAAACAGATTTTTCAAGTGTACCAAACACTGAATAGTTTTAAAAACACTTACAATTTGAGGTAAATCTGAATCTTGAAGAGCTGATGTGGTAACTTGGGGGGTACTAACTATCTTGCAGCTGTTTGAGGGAGAAGCTTCCACAGCCCCTTCATCCATTGGGTTCGGGTATGATATGCGTATAGATGGGTAACCTGGGAAGGAACACATCTTCAGAGCACCAAGACATGTTTGTTCGACTTTTATATTGCCAGTAACATCATCATCCAACAACAGCATCGCTTTCTCATGCATAAAATTCAGTACAAACAAGGGCTGGTTTTTCTTGAGTGCATGCTCAGTAAAATTGTTTAGATACTTCTGCTGCCGAAGCACACTGATCTCTTCGCCCTGCACTTCCTGCTTCAAACTTTCTGTGACTTTGGTCTCAGCCATGCTATCAGGTTCATTTTTTTCTAATTCAACCCCCTGCAGAAATAGATAAAGAGCATGTTTGTACGGGTGAAATAGGCAGAAATTTCGGAATTGCTGAAAACTGTAGCAGGTTCTGATGAAGTTGATGCAATTGAAGAATTCTGAACAGTATATACCACCTACTGTCTTGAAAATAACTCTAATTGATAAAATATAGGATTAGAGGGGGCGATATAAAAAACAAGCTAAAATGATCATCTTAAGTAATAACAAGGAAATAAAGTGGCTCCTGAACCACCACAAAGTTGGGCACATGTGAGCACTAATAATCAGGGTTATAAATTTATAATATAGAAAGAAAAGATCTGCCTTTGTTTAGGTTAGTAAGAAGAAGAAATTAATAACTATCCATTAGACCTGGCAAAAAGTGACCCGACCTGTTTTTGACCCGAAACCCGACCTGAAAACACTGGGTTTTGAACAAAGGTTTTGATGACCGAACCCGAAGTTGACCGAACCCGAAATGACCCGCTAAAAAAGGGTCAAACCCGACCGAACCCGAACCCGACCTGACCGACCCGCTAAAGTAAGAATTTTTCAAAATTGTACACTTTTTTACTCGTTTTTAGTGTATAAATTTATATTTTCAGACAAAATTTTAATGATATTGCATAATTATCTTACTTTTTCCCCAAAACATAAGCATTTTTAAATTCCTTATATAGATTTTTTATAGATTTATGATGAAATCTCAAATGTTATTTTATTAAAATATCTAAATTATGAAAAAAAACTATAAAATTTAAATAATTACACTTAAATTTTTAAATTTATTGGTTTCAGTATTGGGCAACCCAGCTGGGCTTGGGCTACTGTGACCCAATACTTGTATCTTAAGAGTTGGGCTTGGGCTTAACTGGGCTACCCGAAATAACCCGAACTTGAAGTGACCGAACCCGAACCCGACCTGACCGACCGATTTGCCAGCTCTACTATCCATTATTGCTTGCTTCCATCAACAGATGGTAGTTTAAGATAATTGAAATATTTCTTGAAGGATTCTTGTGGGCAAGGAAAACATCAGAACAAAAAATGCTTCATGCCACTATCAAAAGATTGAAGTACCTCATCCTCTGACAGATATCCATCTGGGACAAAAAAACCATCCTCGCTTTCTTCTTCCTCACCGTCACCTCTTGAACGATCTTCCTCTAAGCTCTCAATGTCATCCTTATCACAATCCGACAGGCTTTCACCTGGTTCCTCCTGTTATGTGAACTTTAACTTAAGTTGAACCCTCAGGAACAATCATATTCAATACAGGATGTGCAGTGATGCATAAATACCTCTTCCCACTCTTCATCACTGTCAAACTCGTAATCCAACTCAGGGTCCTTTGTGAAAGGGCAACGTCCCCTAACAGTTTCACTGGTAAATATAAAACCATGAATAAAAGGTAAGAGGAACCCAAATGCACAGTTAAAAAAGCATCTTTTTTAGTAGGGTGCATATAAATATCATTTTTAACCAGAGAACCAGCACAGCCATCATGGAAACAATTGAAAATAACATTTCTATGGTTAAGGCCATGGGAATGTTGAAGCCAAAAACATATAAATGCTCATACTTTTATTGTGCCATACTGCCATTGGTCATCTATGCCAGTTAGAGAATAGAATTATACATCATTCAATTGTTTACATATAAGGCATGGTGCAGGTCAATGATTTAACCAACTGACTGAAAAAAAACTTGATGATAGATGGTCACCTTTTCTTTGGCCAAACACCATAGAATGCAGGCCTGTGGCTCTTATCAAATTGCAATAATTTAATACTACGGAAGTTATTCCGGGCACCAGATGGCAAACTTTTTGGATTCACACAGCAGGCTTTGCTATCTCCATTTGTGTCAACCCATCCATCAACAAGCTTTGCTTCAGTTAACTCATCATCATTAGTGAGTCCTCTATTTGTAGTTAGCTTAAGTTCTTTGACAACTTCAGTTCTAGGCCCACGACGAAGACCCCAGTGAGCATTTTTGTTTGAATGAATCAAATGACCCAAGCATCGCCAAGAATTTAAATGTGACCTGTCCAGTAGCAGAAAAAGATAGTTAATATTGCATTAAAAACCATATGCCACCAAGGCTATAAAATAAAACTGAGTAAGAATGTCTGTTATATTACAAATGTGAGAAAATTAGCAACAGTGCAGAATGAAAATGAAGAGGCAAACACCTCCATAGATCTTCTGCGTGTATTACATCCTTGAGGGAAAGAATAGAGTCCATCAATGGAGTAACAGATCCAGGCATTTTGTCACTCTTGTCAGGGGATAAATTGGATGTTACACTGTTCAACAGTGGGTCATCTTGAGGAGTTGAGCTACTTTTGTTTTTTTTAAGAAAGCGTTCCATTAGTGAAGCTTGTTTTTGTAAAGATTGTTGCTTTTTCAAATCAGCTTCTTCCTTTTCCTTGCGCCGCTGATCTTTCTCAGCTTCCTCTTGTTGCTTTTTTAGTTGCTTTCTTAGTTCAGATTCTTCTTTCTCGCGGCGCTTCTCCTCCTTCTCTGCTTCTTGTTGCAAGCGCCTCTGCTCTTTTTCCTGAACAACAACAACAACAACAACCCAGTTAAATCCCACAAGAGTAGGGTCTGGGGAGCGTGTGTGTATGCAGACCTTGCCCCTACTCGAAAGTAGAGAGGTTGTTTCCAAAGAGACCTCCGGCTCAACGTCGAAAGTTGCATTGCTTGACTAACTGCTACTTCATTAATTAAAGAAGCGCAGACAGTTAAGAGTAAATAAGTAGAAATGTAAGCTCAATGAACATAGAGAACACCATGCACTTCACCTCCTTTTCCAATTTTAAAAGTAAATAAACACAAATATAAACTCAATGAACATATTGAGCAGCATTTGAATTTTGTAACATTGAACTGTAGAATTTAAGAATAAAAGCATGCTATTTGTTTGTGAACATTCTGCACAACTTGCAATTTAGCAGGAAACTGAAAAAGGTCAAACACAGCATACAATGCAAGATAGACTTACACTTTGTAACTTTTCCTTTTGAAGTTCCTTGTCCAGTCTTTTTTTCTCTTTTTCTGCTTCTCTTTTGCTCCTCTCCATCTGCTTGATCAAAATCTTCTCCTTCTTGGTATCCTTTTCAGCCCTTCAGAAATCAAAGAAAACTATTTGAAAAATTGGAAATCATGGACACAAAATACCATAATAAAACAGCTGCTAATACTGACATTTCAGCACCACTAGTTTGCCCCATGTTGTGTATCAATGAACGTATATCTGCTTCAGCTAATACTTTAGAAAGCTTCTCAGAGGCTTTCATCAGCTCTTTGCTATTTTGATGACTATCTGGTTTATAGAGAGCAGCTAACATCCCTGAGAAAGTCAAAGCAAAATATTTGATTAACAAATACTACGCTATACGCTGAAATCACATTGAATCATCACAAATATAAACCAATGTTTCCATGTGTGAAACTCTACCTATCATCTTAAGTTTTTGGGTTACAAAGTGAAACCCAACTGTATATGCAAGTACTGACACTCTGCCCGTTGTTCTAAGCCCACCGGAATTTGAACATAAGATCATTTTTCTACAGTGAATTTGTTATACTCCATGTTTTTTGAATATAAAATATGTGCATTGGCTTCTAAGTAACCATTACCCTGCTGAAAATACTAACAAAAGTAGAAACTTTAGCAGTTCGAACTGCAGCTAAGCATATAGCATGACTTAATAACATACCAGATACAGCAGAAATCCTCTCATGTATCTTTTTCCGACAAGTCCGCCGGATTCTAATTGCAGAACGCACGGACTTCGGCAACAACTTAGCATCCCTTGTCTACACATCAACAATCCAGCATCACAGTTATTCACATGATCCACAATTGAGAAGTATACCGATGAACAAGACACATTCCCTAAAAAAGAAAATGTAAAGTTGCTCCAGACTAACTTAACGGAAAGAAACCAAAATCTTTACCTCCCAGCACCAGAGGGCAGATTCCGAGTCGTCCTCCAAGACATCGGAGTCCGATCCAGGAATCCCATAGAACATCCTCTGCCCAATCGATATCACAGTGCTTTTCACACCAGTTTTGCTTATATTCTCCGCACCGATTTTGAGCCCGCCTGACACCGTACCTCCGATTTTAGCGAAAATCTCATCCACTAACTTAGTAAGCGGAAGGCTGCTCTCTTCCATTAACCCAGCAACAGCAGAATTCATCGAGACGCAAGTCTTCAAAACCTCCCCGTCCCCAACAACCCTCCGCTCCAGCTCCTCCCTGTAGTACCTGAACAAACCCTCCAATTCCTCGCGCAACGCCTCGATCTTAGCTTCCTTCTCTTCCGGACTCACCCCAACAGCAAAAGACGCCCTCTTTCTCTTCAAACTCCCCTTCGAAGCAGCCTCTCCCTGAGAATCCGGACCCTTCGCTCCGGCGCCCTCCGAAACGTCGACCGCCATCGGCTCCGCCATGAGTTCGACGAACTGCAACTGCGATATGGATGATTTCTGCTGGATTAACTCCAGAAAAACGAAAACCCTAGAAGAAGATTCAAGACGGAGATTGGTGGGTGAAATAGTAGGGAAAATAAAGAAATGAAGAAATGAAAACCCCTCTCCTCGGAAGGCGAATCATTTCCCACCGTTTTTATTTTCCTTTTCTTTTCCTTTAATTTCCCGCCAGTATATTTTTCGGGAAAAGGGGGAAAATGCCGAAATTCTATTGCGCGCCGAAAATTATCCGCGCGGCTTGCTAATGGGCTGGTTCGGAGATTCGGCTGAGCCAAAACAGAATAAAGTATCGGGCCCATATATTGTATTCACTGGGCCAAACGGAGTGACGGAATTCGCACTGTTGTATGTGCTTCTAATGCCAAACTAGTATTTCAATCATGCGTTATACAGAACATATTAATTTTACTCCCTTCGTCATTGGTTTGATTATAATTTTTTTCTCTCTCCTCTATATAACTTTTGTTTGTTTATGCGATTTCATTGAGTATTTGATAAAATAAAATATTCTTTTCACTTCTTGTTTTGTAGAACTTTTGATGTAGCTTTTTAATATGTAATTTTTATTTCTTATCATTAAACCGATTTATAAATAAGATCCTTTCAAAAAGTGAGATATTTCTCCTCGTAAATTCTAATTTGTAATTAAATTGGAGACAAAGGGAGTACAGTTTAAGATGAATATAATAAATAAAAAACAATTCTAAACCGTCGCCACAATTCTAAATCGTCGTTAATAATAGTTGTCTGTATCAGATGATCTGCACCACATATGGTCAGGTTATTCAATTCGGCCACCATTTCCGTCGCCACTATTAGAGAGAGTTTATTCATCGCCCAAGCCCCAAACCGTCGCCATACTACGTAGCTAATTTCGTCGTCATTTAGGGACGTATAAAAAATTTCATCGTTACATTCAATACCAACAAAAAATTAACAATGGAAATGGAATCGTCGCAAATTCCTTTGCCCGGACCAATCCCTAATAAATTTAAGGTGTGACGACAAAATAATTTTGTCGTTATTCTGTCATATTTTTATATTGTTATATGATAACCTACAATGCTCGAATAGGCAAGACACAATGATACTTTCATACGGAGTATAATACGCCATCTGTTTGCAAAAAATAATTCCTATTTTGACTTTTGACATCTTTCGTTTTGTAATTTGACTTTGAAATTATATTCTCGGCGATAAAGATAAAAAAGAGACAAATCACTTAAGTAACTTATTAAGAAACTCAAATCTATCGTAGAAGATAGTGTTTTCGAAAATCAAAATATCTTTGTTCATGATGACTACCTCTAATCTTTTTGTTTTCAGATTAACTTCCTTCCCTTTAAACAAAGCTTTGTAATCAAATCTTTTAATTTATAATTTTATTAGTCAAGGTTTGAGATTCAATTCTTTGAAATGATATGCTTACATGATGTACTACATATTACTTATATTTATATTTTCTATTTACCAAAATATATTTCTTTTTTATAAATTTATTTTCTTAGATAAAATTAATTATAATATAAATTTTGTTAGGCATTCTGCCCCTGCATTGCACAGTTATAAATCTAGTGGTTTGCAAAAAAAGGGAGACAAATGATCCAAACTCTACATATCAATAATGGGAAGAGTAATTTATCTAAATAGGACTAAAATATAATGACTTTTCCAATATAGGACCATATGTTTTTATTTCTCAATGTAGAACATTTGGTCATTATTATTTAGTCATTATTCAAGTAAATGTATATCATTACTGGGCATTATTCCTCACACTAAGACATTATTAAGTCATATTTAAAGAATAAAAAAATTTAAGTACTAGATTAAGAAAGTCATTATGTTTTAGTCAGTGCAAATTTCACTAATTGGAATTATTATTATATTTATTGTGGAAACTAGCCGTCGCGCACGGTGGATTATTGTTCTCAACACGTACATCGGTACATACATAAACTACGACTACGTCGGAGTCAAAGAATTTCCTATTGACGGCGCCTGCCGCCGGTGCCCGCCTCTCGTTGACCGTTAAAGAAGATCGCCGCGACCGGTGGACCGAGGTTGTGAACCTCGGCGAATTCTCGAGTGCTGAAATTTTGGCGCCAACCCGGGGCGAAAACGGTCTGTCGGCCCATCTGCTGGAACAGTACGAATACGAAGCGGTGGATTCCGACGATTGGTTGCGGGCTTTCATAGCATACCATTTCATGCCCTGTAAAAATTAGTGGAATTTACTTAAATAACATTAAAACATAATGACTAATGACTACACTTTTGAAGGAGGGCAGAGGGGCTAGGGTGACGGTTTAAAGAGCATAAGAAAATAAAAACCAAAAATTTTATGAACGTAACATTATAAATAGTCTAAAAAGTCCGTGACATTGTTATCGGGTGACACTTAACCACCCACGTGCACACCGATAGCCTAGCCTCGGCTTTGTTTGACTAATTACGGGACCATGACTTGGGCTGTCGTAGTACGTGGATTTACGCGGCCATGGCTCACCGGTGCGTTATCCCTCCCTATATGCATGGAGTACATGATATCTTTAGTGTTTTTATATAAAATCAGAATAATATATACATATATTAATTACCAAGTAATTTTATTTTGTCCAATTATTCATCAACAACTTTATTTCACTGAAGAATAGTATTTTTTGGGTTATAGAAATAATATTTCCAAGTTTAATAAAGTTCACATTGACTCTATGAGTTTTCAATATCTATTTTTGATTTATTATAAACAAACCTATATAAATACAATAAACCCAAATGGAAACAAATTCATTCGAAATTTACAATATAATTTTTTCAACCATGAAAAAATTTCATGACCAAATAAAATTATATTCACAATTTCAATATATGTGTGTGTGTGTATACATATACATATACATACATATATATATAATAATTATTTTAAGTTCTTAAAATATTAACATATTAAACTCGAAATTTAGAAATAAATAAAATATTTATTTCAATAATTTATTTAACTCCAATATTTATTCCCAAACTAAAATAAATCATTATATCTAATTTTCAAAATTAAAAAAATAAATTTTATGTTAAATCTTAATTTTGAAAACTTAAAAGTCCTATATAGTTTTATACGTTGACTATTATACCATAAGTATAACCAATTTCTTCTTTGAAAAGGTTTATAGGGTGAAGAAAGTACTTATTGATTTCAGACGAATAAATGCAGCATATGTTAGTTATTTCTTTTGAAGCAAAAATAATTTTAAATTTTAAGAAAATCATAAAATATTTAAAAGGAAACTTACAAAATCCTGATTAATAAAATAAATAAAGGAAAAATGGGGGAAAACAAATAATAAACAAAAAAACAAGAAATGAGCACCAGTGTTCCTATGGTTTGAAAAATAGGCATCAATGTCCCTCTCTTTTACGCCGGAAAAATGGCTAGAAAATGGTTGGAGGGTATGAAAGAAATGTTTTGAAACCACGAGAACTTTTAAAATACGTTTTGAAAACATGGGAGTATTAGTGCGTATTTCCCAAATCACGGGGGGTACTAGTGTTATTTGGCCAATGAAGCATACTCCGTATATACGCAATAGTAAGTAGGATTGTTCATGTTTAGGTCTGGACTAAAAAAATTAACTGAACCAGACCATAGGTCCAGACCAGACCCGGAGCAAATAGATTTCTGGTCAGTCTTTGGTCCAAATTATTTAGAATTTCATGTTTCGATCCATTACAGTCCATGCTTAATTTCTATTCGATCTGGACGAAATAAACCAAAATACCCATTTATTCCTTATTTAAATTTTAAGATAATCAATTAATTATCATTCTACTTTGTAATTAATTACTCTCACTGTTCTAAAATGAGTGAACTCTTTATTATTAAAAACTCAAGAAAACTTTTGTTAATTTGTCCGTTTTGATTGAATATTCGATAAAAAAATATTTTTCCCGCGTTTAGTTTTGAAGAACTTTTGACGTAATATATAAAATTACAAGTTTTATTTTAATTTTTTATATAAATTTTTAGATATAAGAAAATTAAATCCATCACGAAGCGCGGAATATGAAAATAATTACTCACCAAAATTAACTCCGGTGCTCGCTGGAATGTCAGTCACCAACCTGTGTTTCCATTATTAGCAACAAAACAAAAAGTTGAGTGCTTGGTCAGAAATAAAATAGTCTACTTTCAAATTTTAAATTTATATTTTTAATGATTAATTTTAAGCTTCTATTTTAATATTTTGATTATAAATTTAAATTTTATATTTTATATTTTTAGTGTGAATTTTAACTTTTAATTTTTAATTTTAAAATCTTTATTTTAAATATTTGGTTTTAAATTCTAGATTTTTAAAATTCAAATAGGAATTTTGAAATTTTAATTTTTTTTTGTTTTTTATTTTAAATTTAATTTTAAATTTTAAAATTTTACATTTTTTGGTTTTTTATTTTAGAATTTACAGTTTTTTGTATTTTATTTTAGAATTGAATTTTGAGTTTCTATTTTTTATTGTTAATTTTAAAATTGTAAAATTTTCATTTTAACCTTTAAATTTTAATTTTAAAATTACTAATTTTAGTTTAAATTTTTAGTTTTTTAGTTTTTAGTTTTCATTTTTAAAAATTTTAATTTTTAGTTTTGAACTCTTAAACCTTAAATTTTAAATTTTTAATTCTAAAATATGAAATTTTAAATGTCAAATTTTAAATTTCTGTTTTTTAATTTTTAATTTTTTATACGGAGTTTGAATTTTTATTTTTATTTTTTAGTTTTAAAATTATAATTTAAATTTTAGTTATTATGTTTGAACTTTAGATTTTAAATTGTCAGGATTTACGGTTAAAGCGCATTTCTTTGTGGTAGCTTAGAGAGGATTTGTGAGATTTGATTTTGACCCGTAAAATTCAAATGGTTGATTTAGAACTATTTTCCTGTGCTATGGAATTTAAGATACGAAATTAGAAGATCTGGAATTAAAACTCAATTTCAACTCCATTTATATCAAACAACAAAATTAGAATTGAAGTCTTCAATTTAAATTTCATTGTCCAATCGTGTACCAAACGAAAACTACAAAAAATTAAAATGAAATCTAGGGTTGAGATATACTCCAGGGATATGAAGTATGAAGAAGAAGAAAGAGAATGGAGAAATAGGGGGGGGTGGGGTCGGAGGAAGAAGGAAGGAGATATCATTAAGAGGAGGAAGAAGAAGAGATGAGTGGACGTCTCAAAAAGTATTGTGAACTATTTATATACACGGTCATTTTACTATATTGCAAACTTTTATTTTAATGTTTTATACACACTCCGTCCCATTTTATAACGCTTGTTTCGGTTTACGATGTTTGACTGAAATTATTTTCAAATCATTTTATATGACAAATGGTATATAGTTAAAAAAATAAAAATTACATATTAAAATACTACATCAAAAGATCTACAAAACTAGTAGTGACAATAGTATTTTATTTTATCAAATTGCTAACAAAAATTGAGAAAGAAAGTGAATAATGTTTGACCCTGTGAATAGTGAATAGACATTATAATTTGGGACGGAGGGAGTATATGTTTAATGTTTTCGTTAGCAATTTGATAGAAATTAGTTGATAACATTAGGTTAGGGCTTCTAAGCATGATCCCTAATTAATTAGCTCCCTACCTACAATTCTATCACCAAGTTAGTTTTGCTACGAGCATCCTAGAATTAGCCCAGGCACTAGACTCATTTGGGATGGGCCTGCCTCACTTCTAGTTCGCCATCAGCCCATGTCCTTTCTCACGTGGGCCTCGAATTATTTACGAGTTGGGGGATTTGACTTTTTTTTTACACGAGCTTCCATCCTTAGTGGACTAAGCTTGTCAAATTGGGCCTAACTGACCTCATATGAAGGGATTGGTCATGGTACATTGGGCCTACTCCCAACATACACTTCATTTACATTATTTGGAAATGTTATCCCAAAACTTATTTATAGTTTGTGAAAGGATATTTTGATACTTTTAGAATATTAAATTCTCCCTCCGTCTTAGACTTTTTACCCAGTATTTCTTTTTGGGCTATTTGAGTGTATTTGTTCACTTTCCTTTGTTAGTAAAGATTAAGTTACCCGACCCCCATCTTAGTCGGAAGTGTCTGCTCATAGTATTGTAGACTGGTCTCACAAACTAACACAAACGACCTTTCCCGTACACTTTATCTTCACTCGTGTGCGCCCAGGGAACTTCCGAGGGGGTCACTCATCCCAAAACTACTTCATGTCAAGCACGCTTAACTTTGTAGCTTTTAAGAAACGAGACCTCACAAAGATGATGCATCTTGTTGGTATGAATATTACTATCAATCCTTTTGAAGTTTTTTAAATTCTATGAATGTAATGTCCTCGTCGCACCCTTCTCAAGCTCCTAGATCTTTCCCGCTAGTTGAACTAAGCTCGTTGACCTATCGCAGAGTTGCTCTTGTATCATTTTTAACACCCCAGTCCCACCTTTGCCGCAAGTAGTTGCTTATAAAATTGTTGACTCGTCCAGCAAACCAACACAAATCTTTCCCGCATACTTTATCCTCACTTGTGTGAGTTCAGAGAACTTCCTAGGAGGTTACTCATTCCAAAATTTGTTCAAGTCAAGCATGTTTAACTTTAAACTTTTTAAAAAGGAATATACATCTTGTTGATTTGAAGAGTACTATTAATTCTTTTAAACTCTTTTTAATTTCATGTTAGCACATGGTATTATAAAACCGTTCACATTATCTTTTTTACCCCTCAATTATTCTTACTACGCAGTATTATTCTGCATATCTTTGCCTCTTTCTTACTGGCTAATTTAGGGCGACATTGCCAGATTGAATTATTATTATTATTATTATTATTATTATTATTATTATTATTATTATTATTATTATTATTATTATTATTAGGCAGTGGGTTTGTAAATGGGGTATTTACCAAAGTAGTGGAAAGGAGCATAACTAGTCAATAGCTTGATAATATAGTGCCATGTACACTCAATTACAAATTCATGAAAAAGTAAAAGTATTTCCCTCTTGTCTAGAATTTCTTTTTCTCCTCTTATACTCTCTTCGTACTTCAAAGATACCACAGATATTTTTTAGGTCAAATTATAACACCTTTTGATCGTGAAGTACAGAAAAAGTATATTTAGTTATTACTCCCTCCGTTCCTAAATATTTACAACATTTGCTTTTTCAGCAGTGTCGGGAACTTTTGTTTATTTCGACGTTTTCATTGATTATTTGATAAAATAAAATATTCTTGACACCTCTTATTTCGAAGAACTTTTCATGTAGTTTTTTTATATGTAAATTTTATTTTTTATTTCTTTACCAATATATAAATAAAATGAATTGAAAAAACTTGATATTTTTTCTCGGGAATACAAATGTGGCAAATAATTAGGGACGGAGGGAGTATATAAATTTAGTAAAATTGTGCTGACTTTAAATATAGTTTTGAAATATCAATTTTTACGATCTTTAATTATTTTAAATTATATTTATTTCATGGTCAAAGACTCAAAAAGTCCCACAGTTTAACAAAAAAGTCAAACTGTGACTATCTTTTAAAGAAAGAGAGTACTTCGTAATTTTTTTCTGGAGGTGGCGCCTTCATATACCGGTAAAAGTTTGTAACAAAATCCTACCATACAATTTGTTGTAAAAATATATTGTGCATCTGCTATACCATACGTATTTAATTTTACATTGGTTATTTTGACCTTAGAAAAAAAGTGATCCGAGAATGACTTGGACACCTAAGATTCTTTGTTAGTAAAACTAAATGTTCCTACCTCTCTTATCCCCTCCTAACCCCCACCCCGGTTCCCTCATGTCTTTCCATCCCCTAGCAGTAACTTCTATGGAAGGGAAAAAGGGAGGAGGAAGGGGGGGCAAGATTAGGGTTTAAGAGAAGGTTAGAAGGTGTAGCTGTGTAGGTACAATGAACTTTACCAATGGAGTATGGTAGATGCATCAAAATTCTCGAATTATTTTCAAGTAATTTTTTTCTATGGTGAAAAGAACCTTGTCATCCATATTTAAGGTTTTTTAGTAAGCAATGGCATGTTTCTACACATTTAATGAACATTGATTTGTGTTTACAAAGCTTTTATTTAGTGACACTTTATTTAATACTCGTGAACGTATAGATTTTCATCGATAATTGTTGTATGTTATTTATGTAAATTTGTTTGTGGAAAATTCTTTCGTGATCCTTGGATTAATGTTCAATTCATATATTTTAATATAAAAAATGATTATTTATATATAGTGAACCTTGTAAAAAGAAAGCGATCCAACTATAATTCCATAAAAAATATGAGAAAACCCCCATCACGTATATGTGTAGACCTTTTGGCTATAATTTATTACTCCGTATATAGAATAGAGTATTACTTAAATGTATTAACCAATTAATTTTTTTCTATTTCGATCTCCATCCCATAAAAAATCGTGACATTTATGAATACCAATTAAATTTGCACATAATAGAGTATATACCTTTCCACTTGATGACAAAAAACACTTTATATTTGACTCAACTAAAAGTGCTACTTTGAAATAAAATACATATGAATAATATGATGTTATTTATGAAAAATCATTATGTTTTAGTGATATTTAAGTAAATTTCTCATACAAAAAATGTATTGAGTCATGGTGTGTATAACTTAAGAAAAAAATTAGAGATACACTAATTTTTTTCTCGAACTTACACTTAAAATGTAGAGTAAATTTCATAAAAGGTTTCTAGTTATAGGTCGTTTTACATATTTAGTCCCTACATATCAAATATTACTACTTTAGTTCCGAATTATCATATTCATTTCCATGAATGGTCATTTGTTAACATTTTCGTTAAGAACGTGGATAAAATTATAAATTCACACTCCTTTCTCTCCTCAATTAAGCTTCCTCCCTCCCCTCGCATTCCTTTCTCAAACTCGTCGCTGAGTTTGAAGCTTTGAACCCAAAATTTAAATCATCACTCTTCTCTCAATTGTTTATCTAACTGGTGGAACGCAAATTCGAAACCAGTAACCTTCATGGATGATTTTAATGTTTATTTTCTTTACAATTTCTTGTGACTAATTGATAAAACTCATCCATAATCTTATTGCTTTTGATTTTAGGTTCCATCAGGAAGACTAATAATTGAGAGAGGAATGATCATTTCAGTTTTGGGTTTAGAGCGTCAAACTCAGCGATGAGTTTGGGAAAGAGTACAAGAGGAAGGAGAAAACTTAATTGAGGAGAGAGAGAAGCATGAATATACAATTTTATCCATGTTCTTAACAAAAACGTTAACAAAAGATCGTACCATTCGTGAAAAAATGATGGAGTATAATAATTATGCACTAAATTAGTAATATTTGATATGTAGGGACTAAATATGTAAAACGACCTATAACTAGAGATCTTTTATGGAATTTACTCTAAAATGTATCACAAACACAAATGAAAAACAATTATCTGTAAGAAGCAAAAATAATTATTATTTGTATGTCTGTGATACTGTGATGCATTTAGTGAACAAATTTGGTGTTCTCCTAACTTTTTTTCATAATTTAACTATAGGATTAATTGGTAACGGGGAAATATATTTAATTTGGGTATTGTTAGAATTATTCTGAAATTTAGTTTTTTTTTGCAACATTTAGATTTAGTTGACTGCCCATGGTACTGTATATCGTACTGCCCAAGCAGAGAGAATCTTTTGATTATTTTTGTTTCGGCGAAAGCGGAACACATCTCTCTCTCAACTAAGATTCTTTTTATTTATTGACCAATCACTGAAGTTTTTAGTAAAAATATTATGATTAAATTTATACCATCAGAGCATTATTCTCTAATGAACAGTGTGAATGTCATACTCAAGGGCCCGAGACAATCTTTTTGAAAAAAGTAATCCCGGTCTCTAAATATTTGTCACACTTGTATTCCCGAGGCAAAATATTAAATTTTTTCAATTCATTTTATTTACAAATTGGTATAGAAATAAAAAATAAAATTTACATATCAAAAAACTACATGAAAAGTTATTCGAAATAAGAGGTGTCAAGAATATTTTATTTTATCAAATAACTAATGAAAACGAAGAAATAAACAAAAGTTCCCGCGACGATGAAAAAACAAACGTTGTAAATATTTAGGGACGGAGGGAGTAAATAAGTTCTCATTTCAAATTAGCAATATAAAACACGATATGTTCTTTGTCCTAACAAAGGATGTTTATCCAGAACATAAATCATTTCACACTTGTTTTTGTTAAGAGCCGAATCTGGCCATTACGCCCCTACACACCCCCTATTAGCCGCTTGAACAACGACCTCGGGGAATTTTTCCTTTAGAAGGGTACTTTAGTGATGGGGCTCAACTATTTAAATAAAAAAGTCCAAAAATATTGAAATGATTGATAGAAAAAAGTGAGCAATTTTCTTTAGTAAAATATCTCTGGGTTTGACTCTAAAAGATCGATTATCCAAATTAGGAGTGACGTATTCTTATATATGATGACATTATTGATATTATAGGTCCTATTTCAGAGAAAAATAATTAAAATCTTATTTTGACTTTTTCTCTATGTTTCATTCATATTTTTGTGCTTTACCTTTAACTTTTACATAGTATAAGAAAAGTGTATGTTACTCTCTCTGTCTCATATATTTCTTTCGAGTTTGATTTTGGTGGTTGAATTTTTTAAACTTGAACCACAAATCATTTAAAAAATATGGAACTATGTGATATAAGTTTAATCAATAGATTTATTTTGTAATATAGTTTTAAAATGTCATATTTTTATAACATGTGTTTATAGATAAATAAAAATAGTAGTAGTCAAAGTATTTAATTAGAGATTGTGAAAAATCAACTATTAAGACAGAAATGAGACCTAGGAAGTATATAAAAAAGCAGTTGGAACTTATTAAGAAGGAAAATAGTCATTATTGGCCACGCAAGATGGATGGAGAAAGGAGAGGGGTGATGGGTGGGGGCTGTGGGAATGCTTCCTAAATGCTCGAAGGAGGAGCCCGTGCGGGGCCTTCGACGGGCTATGCAGATCGAAAGATTATATTATACATTCGGCTGTACCCAATTTTGGGTATAACCAAGAAAATATTTATGGTATTGATTTTATTTAAATAAGAATGAATATTAAGTTATTTGAGTGTTAGAGTGTCATCCCACATCAGAAGTTCAAGAGCAGAAAATAATCGGTATATAAGTTCTTGAGTTGAACTAACTAATCTATTAGATTCAATCTTTTAATGTGGTTCAGCCCAAGTGTCTTATAACCCAATCCAGTAATTTCTACCTAATCCTAAAATTCTATCATGGTATCAGAGCAGGTTTTGGCCCACCTCGTTTGTCAAAGGTGTTCGTCTAGACATTCATTTCTAGCGGCCCGTTAGTCTTTAGCCCAGTTGTCCGTATGGAGTATGTACCCAACGGCCTGTGACCCTTTTAACACGATTGTTCGTCTGGAAGTCCATACCCAGCGGCTCGTGGTCCTTTAAGGTGTTCGCGCTCAAAAAAAATCAAGGGAATGAGAGTTTATTTGCAAGTGGTCAACCAGTTAGATTCAAAATGGCCCGGTTGTCCACTTGAGCGGGAGTGTTAGAGTGTCATCCAACATCAGAAGTTCAAGAACAAAAAATAATCGGTATATAAGCTTTTGAGTTGAACTAACTAATCGATTAGATTCAATCTTTTAATGTGATTCAACCCAAGTGTCTTATAACCCAATCCAGTAATCTATATCCAATCCTAAAATTCTATCATTGAGAATGAGTATTATTTTGTTTCAAAATGAACACTACATTCTTTATATATATATATATATATATATATATATATATATATATATATATATATATATATATATAATTAAGTCGATGTTTATTGGATGGGTCCCTCTTTTGAGGATACACTTCTTTTACTCGTAATCTCATAGGGAGTATTTTATTCCAATTCGAAATCAGTTTTCCGCATAACTTTTTATCAGAACTGAGTCTCTCAATGACTTATGCATTACAACTGTGATTATTCTACGAAGTATCGAAGTACGTGTCAGTCTTCTAATTACAAATAATGATTCTTTTGTTATTTGAGATCGAATACGGAGTAATAATTCTTTTCCTTGTACGGAGTATGAAAAAAAATTGATTCTAAATACTCCTTTACAATAACAATTACGGTGCATTATTATTATTATTATTATTATTGTCATTATCATCATCATTATTATTATGTAATAAAAATAAGGGCAACACAAATTGCCAAATTAAATATAAATAACAAGATTAATAGTTATTACTGTATAATACTTTGGAGTTATATGGCGAGGTTTGTGGGGTTTGCTTCATTATTTTTTGTTACACAAAAATGAAGAATACACCCACAAGTAATATATATTTAGGGAAATTCAAGTCAAAGTGTGTTTTAAGTGGGCATTGATTGTTGGTGTCAACTAAGTCAGGCTAGTTACCGGGTTACTTTTGCCCGACACTTTATCCGTTGTTTTTGGCCCATCAAAATTTTAACATTGATAAATTAATCAAGATATTAAACTCTATTATCCCTATGACCCTATCACATTTATTTAATTATATGTCATAAAGTAATACCGAGTAGAATTGTGGTGTGTGTCTATATACATATACATATACATACATACATACATACATACATACATACATACATATATATATATATATATATATATATATATATATATATATATATATATATATATATATATATATATATATATAAGAAACATCTACTCCCTATATAGTTGCGGAGTATAAGTACGTACCAGTGCAAGTATTCTCTTAAGTTTGGATCACTTGGACTTGGAGCATCAGGATCCACCATCACCTTCATTAGTTCATGTCAATAAAAACAATGCACTTTCTTTTTTTAAAAAATATGTTCTCAAGAAAATGTCTCAATCCATTTAAGAAATGAAATAAGTAATTCACATTATCCCCCTGTCTAAAAATCCACCATATATTTTCATTTTATTTTTGAAATGTTACTATTATAAATATGTACTCCATCCACCCTGAAATTAACCTTCCGTTTCAGTTTACGAGTTTGACCAACTTTGTTTTTCAAAGAGGTGACATGATTATGTTACTTTGTCAAGTAACTTATAAAAATAAGCAAAGAAAGATGATAAAATTTGACCGTTAGAAAGTACTTGTAATTTTAGGACGGAGGGGAGTGTAGTTTATGAAGAGAAGAAAGAAACTTACGAGAGTATAGAAAGTGCGTAGATCATGGCCGCCGATGTCGACCCTCGGCGGGTTGAGCACGAGAGATGGCCGGAGCTCGCAGCCGTTGGTGACGGTGCGGTCGCCGTAAGCCACCCTGAGGTTTACGGAGCCCGTAAAAGGCTCAAGCACCTCTCCGATCACGCGCCCAACAGCCAGAGCGTCTCTCTGCCGCCTCGCCGCCATATAGATATGTATGTATTTATGTGGTATGAGTTGCTTATTAATTAGCTCGATATTCCTCTGCTTGATTCATGTTTAATTTGTTCCTTATTTATAGACCTCGCCCGTTTTGTCGCTATATGTATGCAATAAATAAATAAAAATGTGTGTGCATAGTGCATGCGTAAGTCGCCGTCATGCAACATGATGCAAGTATTCTACTACCTCTATATCTAGGCTATATTCATCCCATCACATTCACTACCTTTTAATTAATTAAACCATCACCACCCTTTCATTTTTACTTCATCCGTCCCTAAATATTTGCCACATTTGTATTCCCGAGATAAAATATTAACTTTTTTCAATTCATTTTATTTACATATTGGTATAGAAATAAAAAATAAAATTTATATATCAAAAAACTACATGAAAAATTCTACGAAATAAGAGGTGTCAAGAATATTTTATTTTATCAAATAACCAATGAAAACATAGAAATAAACAAAAGTTCCCGTAACTGCTGAAAAAGCAAACGTTGCAAATAATTTGGGACGGAATGAGTATTAAGATAAGTCCCAAAAAAAGAGTTTGGTGATTGTTTTTAATTTGTGAGAAGTCAATATGTATGTACGCGTCCAAGAAACTGGCCTGGTAGACCAACCCCGACTCAAATAAGCAGGTCATCTGCCAATCAGGCGAGTTAGTCTGTACGTATATACGTAGTATTCACTATGAGGCGAGAATATACACCAGGCCCGACCCAGGGGTAGGTTACGCGCCCAAAGCCTAAATTTCACTCAACATTGTCTTATATTCATTCATTCGTTGTTGATTTAAATGATTATTTTTATTCTGAATTAAAAGTCTTGCAACTGAATTTACCAAAGGAGCCAATGTCTTTTGTTGATATAGTCTTAAGTTTATAAAATATGAAGATTGTTGCCCAAATGCTTACATTGCTTATAGAAGTTTTTTTTACTTTACCTAAAAATGTAGCTTTTGTCGATAAAGGATTGGTTACGTTGGAATGATTGTTGAAATTTGTGTTATAATGCAAGATCATGGCCAAGACCAGTTGCGAGGTGAGGAGGTTTCGACGAGCCCAACCAGTTGACACCTTTCTGCATATGAGAAGTGTCTAATAGCCCAAGAAGTAAATTTAGATGTTATGCTGCAAACTAACATGTCACACTACTTTTTGTTAATCCTTGTTGCAGATATTAAGCTACCCAAGTATCTTTGAGGAGGATCTTCAAGTGGCAGCTTAGTCATTTTGAGAAACTTCTCTTGGTTCTTTGTATCTGCACCTCCAAATATAATTTGTAACTTGTAACAGTTTATACTCAACCCTATGGTCCCTTGAAATATGCTCATAGTTTCCATTATAAAATTGATACTTTTCATCTTACTTGCAAACAATGATCAGGTCATCGGCAAAGCTATTGTTAACTAACTTGAGTGACTTGCATATTGGATGGAAATGGAAATCATTATTATTGGCCATATGTTAAAGGAGACTGATCAAGTACCCCCATTACAAGGACAAAGAGCAAGAGGGAGAGAGGGCCGACTTGTCTTAGCCCCTTCTTTCCTTTAAAATGACCATAGCTCTTTCCATTCACGTGTATTGAGAATGATGGAGTGGAACTATAGCACTCAATCCAAGCTACAAAATGGTGAGGGAAATTCTGAAGTTCCATAACTATACTACAATATCCCAACTCACATTATCATAAGTTTTCCCGATTTCAAGTTTCATAAGACAACTAGGGGAAATACCTTTCCTTTTGTAACCCCTAGTTAATTCATAACAATGTAAAACATTATGATCCAGATTTCTCGCTTTAATAAATGCCCCTTGGCTATGTGGTTCACAATGTCAGGAAGAATTAACTTTAATCCGCTGCAAAGCATTTTTGAAGTTACTTTGTATATCATATTACAACATGCAATGGGTCTATAATTGTCACTGGCTTCCATATATATGTGCCTCAACTTTAGGTATAACAGTGATTGAAGTAGAGTTGATCTCCTTCAAGAATCTCCCATTTTCAAACAAGTCCAAGATAGTTTTGGTAATCAAATCTCGTATCACAGTCCATTGATGTTCAACGAATCCACTATAGAAACCATCTGGCCCAGGACTTTTCCCATTAGGAAATCCAAACAAAGTTTACTTCACATGTTCCCCTTTTACTCCAGTTATAAGTAGCAATTGTTGATCTATTCTGAGCTTCCATCCTTCGAATTCCAACATAACCTTTTCATCCACTTTTCTATTTTCAGATGGGGTACCAAACAAATCACAAAAGATTTTTACCAAGATTTCTACAACTTTTTTTGTCACCTTTAACCAAAAAAACTTCTTTATTTTTAATATTCGGTATCTGATTCTGCAGCTTTCTATTCTTTATCCAAGAATAGACTAACTTTGAATTTTGATCTCGCTTCTGAATCCAATCCACTTTACACACCATGTGGTTTGACAACAAGGAGGTGGCTTTCCATTTGGATTGTAGAAGTTGTATGAGCTTCCTTTCCTCAATGAGTTTACCATGAGCAAGATTTGCTTTTAAGTCGTCTACGTGAGTCTTTAGGAGGTTTGTGCTCACCAAATCAGTTTCCTCATGTGGCTTCCCATATCTACTCTTGTGCAAGTTCATTAAAGGCCTCTCGAGGTATATTGACCTTCCAAAAATTTCCTTTGTCCACACTTCACTCAATCACTATATATGTGTCTAAGTCAAAGTTTGGTGTTATAGGTGGTTAAGTAGGATATTTATTGTTGTTGTTGTTACTATTACGAGTAATTCTCTAAATAGTTCTTTAATGGGGTTGCATACTTTGTCCATATTTACTAACTATTATGTTGACAATTCTTATTAATTGATATCATTCCACGTTTAACCATCCGTCTATTTTTTCATCTGAGTGTCGTTAAAAATCGACCCATTAAGATATCTATCAAAATAGAGCATCAACATGTAATACTCAATTTAAAAAAGTAGAGTTTTAGTATTTAAGTCTTTTAGGTCCAATAAGGTTATTACGTCCATTTGGTCAAATCGATCTGAACCTAAATCATTAGACTTGGATCGGACCAAAACCCGAATGCTTAAATTTTATGGATCGAAGACCGACTCGAAATCCAATCAGTCCAGTTTTGTTCTGGGCCTAACGGTCTGGTTTGGTTTGATCGGATTTTTGGTCCGGACCTAAACTTGAACAACCCTAAAAATTATAGCTAAAAGTTGGGAATTCGATTAGGCCACATGAATTAGGGTAGGTAAAAATGGAGATAGTACCTGAGAGTGATGAAATAAAGATGAACGGCAACGAACGATGCCCCTGAGCATGGAAACGTCTGTCATTCGATCCCGAGAGCAATAATTACTTGTCAAAATTCTTAATAAATAAATATGTAAAAGTTCAATTGATACCCACCATCATTGTTGTCATCGTTGATACATTAAAATGTCCATTTAGAATCAAACAAGATCATACTTAAGGCCACATGTAATCTTATGATGGCAATCATGTCAATATATAAAGTCACGCATGCGAATACATAACATTAAACAAAGCGAAAATGACAAACATAACAACGTATAATGCTAGTCAATCTTGATAAATGATTAAATGTATACATGCAAATATGACAATGTATAATGACCAATATGACAATGTATAATGTCACATATCACACATCTTAATTCATAATGTCAAAGAAAAAGAAGCAAAATGTTAATTAAGAAATTCTATGAGTTACCAACACCATAATCATTCAATTTTATTATTATTACTAATACGAATAAATTCTCTAAATAGTACTCTTTTAATGGGATTTCAATATTTTGTCCATATTTACTAAGTATTATGTTGACAGTACGTCCTTATTAATTAATTAGGTATCATTCTTCGTTTAGTCATCCTTCTATTTTTTCATATTAGTGCCGTTAGAGAAGGACTAAACATGGAATGGTACCCAATCAATAAGTACCACATAAATAATACTCCGTATTTGATAATTATGAATTAAATTTGAAAACCCTAAGTTATAAAGGACTATTTGAAGAATTTTGCTCTTTTTAAAATACTTTTAATATAAAAATTAATAAATATTAAAAGTGTATGTTGTAGTTTATTTATAAGAAGTTTGAATTTGTATACCAAAATAATAGTAAGCCAAAAATTTCAGTTTTTAAATATGCAAATTAGTTTGGAATCAATAATTTTTTAAAAAAAATAAGAAAGCACCCGAAGTATCAGTAAAATATAGGATTTATTCTCAAAATAAGAGCCTCAAGTTTTTTTTCAAAATAGAAGTTTGCACTGTGACATTATGACATTGTATAATGACGTCTCATTGTATTTTTTTAATACTTATATTGGAATTATTAGCATTGTACTCTATTTTGGAGATAAAAAATATTCCGCTCTTATTTTGATATTCTCTTAATGTTTTACTTCTAGTTTAGTCATTTCTCCAAAAAATAGAAGTTATTATTCTGTTTTAACGAACAACAAAAACAATGCTTGGATAGAAAAAAATACGGAGTAGAATATATATGTACTACGGAGCATTATATTAGTTGGCATACACTCCAGTGTTGGACAAGAGAGTGGCACGGGAATTCTCGTCGAGAAGATCTTTTTTCTATCCAAGTACTCTTGTTAAAACGGAATAATAACTTATAATTTCTTTGTAGTTTTATGGACTTCAAATTCATTATATTCTTGTGTTAAAAAATGAAATTTTCGGTAAACTATTTTATGGTGTACAAATTTTGACTTTTATAACTAAACTACAATCATACATTTTTCATTTTTTAATTTCAATACTCCTTTGTTAAAAAGAGTAAAATTTTCTTTTTTTTGGGGCTTGAAAAAAGCTCAAAATTTTTTCCCCTATCCGATACGTATTTGTATCAATTGATGCTTTCATTATTTGAACTCACAGAAAAAGACAACAAAAAATGAACATTTATTTCCAGACAATCACACCACAATCGCGCAACACAAATCACCCTAGTCGTCCGATACATATTTGTATCATTCGGATAAAGGAAAAGAGATTTGGATAGTCAGGTGGCGTACGTAGCTCAAATGGTCGAGAGGCGTGTTTAAAGGGGGTAAAACCAAGTTTGACTTATGATAACGACGGCGATAGAGATTGATAATACTCCTTCTGTTCCATAAAAC